TTGCAGTGGGTGAGTGCTCTCTGCCACTGTATTAGACATAGGAGCCCCTCATAGACCTCTTGCTGTTTAGCATCAATACTCATTGGCCATGACAGAAGCATTCATTTGGTATACTATTAAAGTGTCAGCCGATCAGCCTGAAGATCCACCCATTACTCCACATTATGCACCAAGCAAAGAAAGTAAAAGATACTAAAACAACCACATGTGGAAAAGAAATTCAGTATAAACTGATACAAAACAGAGGATAATCAAAGGAAGACAAGAGAAACAGCTTTTGGAAGGGATGTTATAGCTGCAGGAACAAAACACACAGGTCAGAATCTTAAGAGTTTCAACAATGTGGGCTAAGGCAAGATTTGTGGCAGAATGGGATGAGAATACCAATGAGACCTTTCTCAACATCAGGAGCATCTTTCTCCATTTATTTTCCTTTTGCCGAATGGCGACGAGAGTTTCTTGCAGGGTAGCAGCAAAGTATCAATTAAAGGGCATTAAGCTTGTTACATACCTTATCATGGCACAACTCACTGCATTAATATTCAGCTTCCCATTTTACCAAATGCACCAATCAAGCAGGATGTCAAGAAATAGTCATGGAAATTAGAACAGGTAACTGGTGACTTAAGCAGTAACGCAGCTTGGCCAAAGGACCTCCACGTTGGGTACCAGGCACTAACATATCAGATCATGCTTCAGGGCACCAGCCACATGCACCCAATGACCATGGACATTGGCAACTGACATACTAATCTCTTAAAAACCCTCATGGTACATCTCCAAGCTACTTACAGGATGCTTCTGCACTTCAATGCTGCACCAGCAAATATACCTGTAATGCTTCAAGAGAAATTTGCACTCAGGAGCATGCATCCAGCTCATGAACTGGACTATGCTACCTATCCAGGCTTTTGCTTGCTGACATAGCATTCACTCTCTCCAAGAATACATGGATGCTCCCATTCTTGCACTGCCATTGGCTTTCTGCCAGTTTGGCCAGAGATGCTGGGCTCATATTACTTCTGTCATGCCTTGCCCTTTAGTGCAAAGGCAGGAAGCTTGTCATACTTGTCAGCAGGCTTCAGTCAAGGGGCATCTGCACAGTAATTTAAGTGCAACATCTGGTACCAGTCCAGGGACTTGGACAACTGTCACTTGGGACAGTCAGAAACAGGACTGCCTCCATATAAAAGGTAAGGAGCTGAAAGTTGGGCAACGCAGTGACTCTCTTACGGACTGTTGCCCTCCTGGAACAAGAGAATAGGCAGTGCAGGAGGCATCCAAAGCAAGCAAACCAGGTGTGAATAGGAGCAAGTGAAGGAAAATGTTGCAGTCAATTGCCAGCATGGTACAGTATGGACCTTGGTGGGATGTGGGCAAAGTATCAGAGATTGCGCAAGGTAGAAATATTGGAAAAAAGTTTGTGTAACTTATGTTAGTGGGTAGAGAAGGATTATTGACGTTTTTGTTAGTGCTGCAGTCATCCAGAAGGCTGAGACTACACTAATTCAGTTGGCAACTTCTGACCGGCGTGGCTTAGTCTGGTGTCGAGGCTCCCAGAGGAAGAGGAAGTCCCATATATGCACCAATCAGCCCAGCAGGATCTCCAGGACTCAATCCACAAAGCAGGCTAACAAATGTCCCCCATCTGCCATGCCCAGGGCAATGTCAGGAACTGTGCAGGACTGCTATGCTGACAATGCAGGTGCAAGTGCACAACAAACTTTTAAAGTTGACACAGATGCAACGGACACCAGTCTTTCAGCAGATACCTGGAGATGTTACTAAAATGCATAGTAACATGGGGATAGAATAGGATGTGAGGGATGACATGGTATGGGGTAGGTAGCTAAAGAGGTAAATTTGATTACATATGGCAGATTCCCTCAAATTTCAATGCAACTCACACTTAGCAAAAAAAAAAGACAAGATTCAACACTTAGTTATTTCTCCATTGGGTAATCAGCAAGAGGCTGGATGCACCACCCTCTTCACATACAAGTCACAGAACTCAGAAATCTCACTCTCTATTACTTAATGGGGCAGCACAGTGGTTAGCACTGCTGCCTCACAGCGCCAGGGAGCCGGGTTCAATACCACCCTTGGGCGACTGTGCAAACTCCACACACATTCTCCCCGTGTCTGCATGGGTTGACTCCGGGTGCTCCGGTTTCCTCCCACAGTCCAAAAATGTGCAGGCTAGGTGGATTGGCCATGCTAAATTGTCCGTAGTGTTCAGGGATATGTAGCTTAGGTGGGTTGTAGGGGGATGGGTCTGGGATGGATGCTGCAAGGGTCGGTATAGGCTTGTTGGGCCGAAGGGCCTGTTTCCACACTGTAGGGATTCTATGATCCTATGAAACACAAGTCCTCCGATGAAAAGTAGGAACTTCAATAATCCATATGAAAGCTGGGGTAAGGCATAGTTTTTTTCTATTATTAATCAAAAATGTCATGGCTTTAAAAAAAGTTGTATTTAACTTGATCCCTGGACAGCTGAAAATTCACTCCAGTAATCCCATATTGGAAATAATTATGGTGTAGTAGTTGTCACAAAATCAGAGAATCCCTACAGTGTGGAAACAGGCCATTCAGCCCAACAAGTCCACACCGCCCCTCCAAAGAGCATCCCAGCCGGACCCATTACCCTACCCCTGTGCATTTCCCATGTCTAACCCACCCAAACTAAACATCCCTGGGCACGATGGCAATTTAGCATAGCCAATCAAACCCACGCAGACATGGGGAGAATGTCTGTGTGGAGTTTGCACGTTCTCCCATGCGTGGGTTTCCTCCAGGTGCTCCAGTTTCTTCCCACAATCCAAAGATGTGCAGGCTAGGTGGATTGGCAATGCTAAATTGCCATCGTGCCCAGGGATGTTTAGTTTAGGTGGGTTAGACATGGGAAATGCACAGGGGTAGGGTAATGGGTCTGGCTGGGATGCTCTTTGGAGGGGCGGTGTGGACTTGTTGGGCCGAATGGCCTGTTTCCACACTGTAGGGATTCTCTGATTCTGTGACAACTACTACACCATAATTATCTCCAATATGGGATTACTGGAGTGAATTTTCAGCTGTCCAGGGATCAAGTTAAATACAATTTTTTTTAAAGCCATGACATTTTTGATTAATAATAGAAAAAAAACTATGCCTTACCCCAGCTTTCATATGGATTATTGAATTTCCTACTTTTCATCGGAGGACTTGTGTTTCATAGAATCATAGAATCCCTACAGTGTGGAAACAGGCCCTTCGGCCCAACAAGCCCACACCGACCCTTGCAGCATCTGTCCCAGACCCATCCCCCTACAACCCACCTAAGCTACATATCCCTGAACACTACGGACAATTTAGCATGGCCAATCCACCTAGCCTGCACATTTTTGGACTGTGGGAGGAAACCGGAGCACCCGGAGGAAACCCACGCAGACACAGGGAGAATGTGCAAACTCCACACAGACAGTTGCCCGAGGGTGGTATCGAACCCGGGTCCCTGGCGCTGTAACGCAGCAGCGCTAACCACTGAGCCACGTGCCACCCCAAACAGAATTCCTTCATCACTTCTGCATCCTTTGTCTAAAGTTAGGTATCTTTTCCAAATGTATACAGTATATATATGTGTTGTGTTTAATTACAATGACAGAAGTGAACAAGTCAAGGCTCATCACGACCATCTGATAGAAATGCTAAAAGTCAGTGTCCTTTGTTATCAAATTGAATAACTGTATTAACTATAATCAAATTTCAGCCCAAGCTAAGCAAATATTCTAACAAAATCTTAAAAGATTTTTTTAAGATACTGTCACTCCAATAAACTAAAAGCTATACTGCACAATTATAGATAACAAGGTGTAGAGCTGGACGAACACTGCAGGCCAAGCAGCATCAGAGGAGCAGGAAGGCTGACGTTTCGGGCCTAGACCCTTCTTCAGAAATTACACAATTATACATGGGATACGTGTTAAGCTTTGTCCTAAAATGCAAATTCTACATGCACCTCCTGGGCAATAATGCAGCCTTTAAATAAGCATTCATATGTTGCATATTTCAGTAGTTCCCAGACACTTTCCATTTCAGACTTCAAAAAAAAACAATAAACATGCTCATTAAGTTGATATTTAAAACCTCTGACACAGTCAGCAACAGTAGATTGAAACAGGAAGGCAAAAATTAGACAATGTCAATGTCAAGGGTGATGGGCACAGTGCAGAAGTAAGAATCAGCCAGCCTGCTCCGTGTATTTCCTTGCAGCAAGACAGCTGCAATCAGCTGGACACAAGACACAATGTGGGAGAAATCACTAAAGGTTAATCGTTAATGTAGTGGGTCAGTAAGTGTTTGGACTTTCAGAATCAGGAAGAGTGATGGAATGTTAAACTTGTAATGCCTTTCCATACAGTATGTAGCTCGGGAACTGGCTGTGAGGAACTAGAAACATGCAGCTGCAACCTCTTTGCATTAGAACAGGAAAGAGATCTCAAATAGGAAGTTTCCCTGCCCCAAACAAAAACCACTGTTTCTCTAAAATACTTATCTCGGTACCAACACAGAACAGTGCAGACCAACAATCTTAGGTCGACAAGTGATATTTTGATTTTATCCATGGGAAAAGGTTCATCTCATTTCCTAGCTTTCCTGTTGGAATTGCAGAACACACCATGTATATTGTTGGTGATCTGCAGAACATCACCTTCAAACTATTTTTACACAATTAAGAAAAATTGTACAGAAAATTCGATGAACCAGAATCACTCAATACTTTAACCAAAACAAATTTCAAGAATTGTCTTAATTTCTGTGGCTCTGCTTGAATTACTCATTGATAAGTGGATGTAAAAGGCAGTTATATCAATGTTCCACTTCTTGCTCGTCACTGAATATTTGGAGATTGTAGCAAATGCTATTTATTCATTCATGGGAATATTAGGGCAATGTTGGTGTCTGCCATTAATTCACTCTCACTGAAGATCAAAAGCTTGGGATTTAAGTTATATACGCTCAGGGATTAAAGCTGGCTAACATCTGTATAATAAACAACAATGTCTCATCTTACTTACCGTCTCCTGTGCAACACTAATGGCTTCCAGCAAACCATACAGCTTCCCTCTTACAAGAAATACACCAGCGCACCACGTCACACAGTCTTCATGCATCCAGTATTCGTTACTGTCCATTGGGACCAATGGAGGCTGGTACCACTCTTCCAAAGACAATTCACTCTTGGGCTTCTTACTATCAGAACATTTTGTGGTTTCTTCAACACTGTCCAAACCTCTGCGTTTCTGGCCACGGGTTGTTGTACCTTCCCTTGTTCTAGGCTCCTGATTTTGTCCTGGAGTTTTACTTACTGTATTCCTAACAGGATTACAACTAGGGCTAGAAACAACTGTGCTAGCTTGTTCAGTCTTAGTATCTTTTGAGTGGGCAGTTTGGCTACTTGAAGGTGTATATCCTCTGGGATAGAAAGGTCCAAAAAGATCACCTTGTTCCATCGCATTTGCAGACTGGCCACAAAGACAACAGATTAGAAAGCTTTTGTGAGAGGCCTCATTAATTGTAGGACCCAACGTCAAGCAAGATGATTTTGGAACTGCACCATGCGACTGCTGTTGGGAATGTTTCTTTTGTTTAAGATTGTTACTATCCTCCTCAGCATAGTTTACTACAGTACACGTTGAATAACCTTTTGTCTCTACCCGAATGTAAGGTGAAAAACTATCGTATCTATCTCGTCGGTCCTCAGCCTTAAGAGACAATGCTCTTAGCTTTATCTCAGGCTCTTCAGGTGCAAAGAATGACGAGGGCTGGCGCCGTCGTGTTTGCCGCTTTTTACCCGCTGGTTTGCGTATTCTCTTTCTCGCCGTGCCCCTTGTCCTCTGCTGCGTAGATCGCTGTCGGGAAGACAAACAGTTCTTTGGCTGCAAGGCATTCTTAGTGCTTTCTAGCTGCTTTCTTTTCCTCCTGTTTAAACACTTGAGGTCACTTTTACCAAACTCTTGCTTACTGCCTGAAGGATGGCCCTTCCGGGAGATCTCTGTCAACTGCTTTGAAGATGAAGAGGCACTGCATAAAGATGCGGTAGGGGAAATAGGAGTGCTCAATTTTGTTGCATGTCCCTGGCAAGAGCCTGGAATTGAGGTAGATTTATTTTTGTTCAGTTTCTCCATAGTTACTGTACTTGTTTCTCCTTGGTTAGCCTCATTATGTTCTTGTATTTTGTATTCCAAAGTCATTGTTTGTACAGAATCCCTGATGCAGGGAGAGCACACAGCACTACCCTTGGACTTTTGTTCTGTTGTAGAACTGCAGGATTTGTACCTTGGTGGTTGAAACCTGGTAGGAGTCCGTGTATCCCTGCTTCTTCGCAGTCTTTCACTGAGGCTTGATGTTCTTGACTTAGGCTGAGTGACAATATTTTGCACAATCTGCTCCAGCCTCATTCCTCTTTGCCTTGGTGGAAGAATCTTCCTTTCAAAATGCTTGGGCTCAACGTTGTTGTCATTTTGTAGAAGTTGATCTGCAAGTTTCTTCTGATTCAGATGTTGTTGACTTGCTGTCCTCCATTTCCTATTCTCGTGAATTTGAACCTGATTCCGGTGCACATCAGTTTTTGTAACTAAACTACTATCATCCTCCTCTTCAGAAATGCAGACTACATCACTGTCATCAGGCTTGGCCACCAAGGCTAGCTTTCGCCTGTTAAGAATTTGTGGTCCTTCCCGAACAGACAAAAATTCGCAAACATTGTCAGTGCTGGAGCTCTGGTCACTTTTTTCGTAGTTCTCAACAGGCTCTGCCTCTTCTCCGTCCTCAACAACTTTTCCAGGCTTGGCTAAAGAAAGACTCATAGAAATGCTGCACGCCATTGATGCAACATTATTTTTTTTCAGGTCTAACACATATCCTCGAACGTCACACTTCCCCTCAGTTTCAAGAACGTTTAGTTTATGCAATTCAAGGGAGCAAGGCTTTATCCTGGGATGGCTACTTTCTGAAACTGATGGCTTCTGCAAAGAAGGAAACATCTGCTCGCTCAATGAAGCTGAACTTCTGCTGTCCTCACACACATTGTTAACAACCTGTTCTGATTCAGGGATCTCCTTCAAATTCAATTTGGTTGCAGACAGGGCACCATTTGGATCACTGAGAGAAATCTGGTTTTCCACCTCCATGCAGCTATCATCACTACTCAGGGACTGTTCGGTTACTTTAAGATTTGGTGTCAGATCGCCATTACTTGGAGAAATCGTACTGTCTGGTGAGTTGCAATTGATTTCCATGAGATTGTTAGTTTGAGTGCTTTCAGCATTGCTCGCTGAATGATGTCTTTTTCTGTTCTTTAGGTCAGATGCAAAAGCTACTTCTTGGTCACAAGACCACTCTCCAGTTTTCACATCCTGTTCTGAAAGGATATCTGTTACTTGAAAATGGTGAAGGTCCGTAGTACCGCTTGTGCTAAGCATTGTTTCTTCAGAATTTTGTAGCACATCATATACATTGGCTGCCTCCTCATAACTTGACACATTGGTCCTGACACTTTCCACATAGGCTCTCTGGCAATCATCTAGTCTTACTAAACTTGGTGACATTTTCATGGAATTTACAGCTAGTCCACTTGTGTCACAAACTGTGGAAACATTATGCTCCCCTTCTGTTAAGTCGATTGGACATGTTTTATTGGATGTCTCCTCACTGAGGCTTTCTTCAGGTTCAGCTGATACTGCAACCTCTGAACATTCATTGATATTTTCCATCTTTGTCTGCTCTTTGCAACCCCTGCTCAAATCACAAACAGGCTCAGGCTCAACCTCTGTATACTGGTTATTCAAGTTTTCAACATCAGTGAAGACACCAGTGCCATTTTGTGTTTCACAGAGTTCCACTCTACCAAGCAGGTTTCTGTTTGGTCTATTCTCTGACACTGAAGGCCGAGTCAGTTCTATTACAATCATTTCAGAGTCTTGAACATCAGTTTTAGCAGGACTTACAATATTCTGCCATTCATCTCCCTGACGTATTTCTCCAGAAAACTGGCACACAGGGTCATGTGATTCCAAATCAGATGAAACACTTGACTGTTCATACAAGGTTTCCTCTGCAGTATCTAATGCCTGTTCGAGTGGACTATCACATGATCCAGGTTCATGAACTGCAGAAGAGGCCAATGGTAAATCTAAGTCCAGCACCTTCAGGCTGTGTTGGTTCATAATATTACAGTCAATTCCATTTTCAAGGCCTCTTCTAATGGGCTCCAGATCATCAGACTGTGCCAACACAGAGCTTTCAAATGACGAGTCAACAAAATTGGTCGGTATGGATGATTCTAATGAGACTGGCACCATCTGCTGAGACTGTACGCAAACAGATGGAATAAAGAGTGATGCCAATGGCTGCTCATGCAAGGAATGCTGCAATATCCGTTGGGAAGAGAACAGGTGGGGTCGATTGACATAAGAGACTGTAACTGTAGTACTGGAAATGGCATCATCCAAGTGTACCTTATCAGTCTGTGGTACAGTAGACCCTGTATTGGTCTCCAGGTCTTCAGCTACGTTTTTAGTACACAAACTGTATTGTGTATCCATGGTCCCACTGTGCAATAGTTCTAGAGAATCATTCGCCTGCAGCCCCTCTCTCTGATTTCTTGAGCAATCAATCTGATAATCCACAGGGATGCTGAAATTAATTAAGTCATCCTTTCTGTTTTGCAAGCCATCAGTCTGATCCTGTCCTGACTCCATTACAGAACTTTCTTTGTTTCACTCTGCTTCTCGAAGAAAGAAAACAAACATACTTAGTTGTTATCAATAAGTAATAAATCAACAATATCCTTATATAAAAATCCTGTTCATGGAAGTTGCATAGTATAGTTTATGAGTAGCTATATCTGCTGAATAAATTCCAATGGAAAACTACATTTATTGCTATACCATAGAGTATGTCAAATTCAAAAACTTCACCCAGGATTATTTTAAAATTAAGCTTTGAATAGGCAAAAAAGAACAGTTACTTACTAAGGAGCAAGACCATATCAACAGAAAAGGTACAAAAATCTTGTTTGTCTGTTTACTATGACATCACTGGAGTGTGTGGTTGGGCAGGACTCAACATTCTGTTGAATTTAAAAGTCTCTCAGTATTGTTCAACATACACCTGAATATTGAAAAAGCAAAGGACAGGAGTAGCTTTGACACAAAGCACTCCCTAATTACTGGCCTCTTTTGTATACTGAAAAGTGTAGGCCTTCAAATAAATCATTTGTTTGGAAGAAACCGATTAAACCTCTCTCTCTTCTTGAAGGTAAGTAACTTATTTGAAGCTTTCAAACAAAATAGAATACATTGTGAAGCATGGCTGGTTATCTTTAGAATGGGAAATAATTTTTAAGGTGAGCTTTATCCAAATAGGCTGACATCACTCAATCTATCTTCACATTATTAAGTAGTCATACATTCCATTTGTACACCTTTTCTTCCTTCCTCACAATTTCCTGCTGACCTTTCTTCAATTATCACTCTTCTCAAGACAGCAGCTTGTATCGGAGGTATGGCTGCATAGGTATTATATATACCATTAATATCATTCATGTTTTTAGTTTTTAAACATAAAACTTTTAAGTGATTTCTTCATCAATTTGCTGTCTGTATCTTATTTAAAGTCTCATCATTAAATTCTCCTTGATCGTGTACAAATTATTATTTCTGCAATGTCCACGGCATACAATAAAATGGACCATATAAAAGTCTGGAGCTAAGCTCAACCAGGCTTATAAAATATACATATTTGACTATCAAAACAGCAAAAATATTTTTATAGCTGTCATATGGACACTGTATTGTTTGAAAATCAATCTACAAATAGTGAGAAAAATATTTGCAAAAAACATGTCTACTGTTTTTCAGCTAGTTTCCAAACATTTTTTAAAATTATACATAGAAACTGTGTACATTAATTTAGAGAAAAATCCTGTTATAGGCATACACTTATTTCAAATATGAAGTCAATGAAAAAAATTCCCAACCCCAACTGCAGTTGCTGAATTACTAACCTTTACACTAACATTTGATGGAAGCTAACATTAAACAGTGTTACACACAACACTGTTCCCAACCAACAGTGAAAACACAACATAAAGACAGAACATCAAAAGACACTGACCTGCAGTTAAGACTCAAAAGTTTAGCAGCCAGATTTTGAATATATTTAAAGATCACTAATATTTAAACAGTAGGACTGTGAAACAAGAACACACCGCTAAGGCGTTATCCTTTGTCCTTAACAGGGAGCTTCATCAAGACACAAAGACCGTCGCTTCAGTTAGTGCTGAATGCAGAGTCTCATTCATTTCTACTAATTACCATAGCACACTGAAGAGTCGCATCCTAAGTGGATGGAACAAGGCCGCTCACGTGATCTCACAGACAGACATGGAAGTACATGTGCTGCACTGAGAGCAGGAAATGAAGCTGCATATCTCGATAAGGAGGCTGAGATAGCTTGTAAAGTAGTGGGAGACTTAACACCTTTTAACCAAATTTATGTTTACTTTGTTTAAAGAAAACCTATTTTTTTAAAAAAAGATGTATTACAACTGAGTGGGACAAAAATAAAATTGTAAAAAACTTGTAACGAAGTTGACAAATGCTATTTCTTGGAGGATCAAAACAAACTATTCAATTCAACTTATTATACCTTATTGATAAGTTCAGCTAAAATTGGTACTCGATACCAGAGTACATTCTGACAACAGTGGATCAACAATTTAGTTGTAGTCTCCGAGGGCCTGAATCTTCTGGCTTGGTCTGTTCCTTTTTTAATATACAGATATTTTTGGAACAAATGAACTTTTCATGAAAAACTGAACGTCTGTGGCATTCTAAAGCCTACAGGACCTGATTTTTTAAAATTCATGTAGTAGTCAAAACGAACTTAAGATGTTAAAAAATATTAAGGAAGGTTACTGAAATCAGGTGCTCCAATAAGAAAACAAGTCACATCGCATAGCCCGAGGCAAGTTGACATGAAAACATAGGGATTAGGATAAAAATATACAGATCACCAGAGTAACTCATGTCAGGAAGTCTTGTCCACAATCGGTCTGCGAACAAGCACCACGATCCAGAAACAAAAGAGTTTGTGACTGAGCACAAGCGTAGTGTAGTGAGGGTGTGGATACGGACGCGTTTTAAACTTTTGGGGCGAACACTGCGAAATATCTTGAGTCAAAACATTACCTTGCACAATGCTCATCAATGAAGGGTGAGACTTTATTGAACAAGGAGCCAGCGGCCTCTATTGAATATAGAGAGGTGCCCGGGTTGCAGGGAGTGAATCAGAGCTCCAGTTGCCTGCCCCTCTTTGCGGCGGAGCGGCTTTTCCAACAAACACCGCCTTCAATGGCGAGTCCACATGGGGCTTGAATTCAAACAAAGAGGTGAAGCGCCGCCCGCTACAAAAGAAAAACAGCGTTTCCTCCCACCCTCTTCTCTTCCCAAAGAAAAAACAAAGAGTCCCTCTCTAACGTCCCCACCGACAAAGACCAGGCCAGTCACCAGCACAGGCTTCGCTGACTCACTCCAGTCCCAGGCTGTGTAGGCCGCCGCTAGGCCTCGCGGTGTTTGGAAACAAAGGACGGGAAGTGCGGAGCGGGGGGAGGGGAGGAAGGGCCGGGCCTCCACTTCCTCCCTCCCCCTCCGCCACTCCCCGTCCCTGCGGCCCACCGACCTCCCTCTCGATTTTACCTGAAGCCACCCTCCTCCGGCGCTGCGTAACTGGGCCGTGCGGCCTGTCACTCAGGAGGCCGTCGCCATGGCAGCGCCGGGCGGCCTGTCACTCAGGAGGCCGTCGCCATGGCAGCGCCGGGCCGCCTGTCACTCAGGAGGCCGTCGCCATGGCAGCGCCGGGCGGCCTGTCACTCAGGAGGCCGTCGCCATGGCAGCGACGGGCTCCGCCTGTTGTGATTGGTGGAATTCCCACTGCCGCGTGCTGAGTCTCTCATTGGTGTACCCTCACTTATCACTTGCTCTGGGTGGTCGAGTTGTTTACAGTTCGGCTTTTTCTGCTTCAAATAACACAAAGGCTTGTGATAAACTAGACTTCAGGTCCTCTTAATTGCACTCCGTGCTCAAATTGCATAAAATACACTTCATCCAGAAAATTTATTAAAGTACATGTAACCATAGAGAAAGCAGAACCACAATACTTGTTTTCTTCTCTGTAAGATAATACAGATCTGAACGGCTTCATTAACTGTGTGTAAATAAAGATTTAATTCGATGGATAAAGTATATGTTTTGAAGTTAAAAAAAATATGTCAACACATGCGAGACCCCGATTCAGAGGCAAAAGACTTGAAGGAAGCTTCTGTATCAAGAGATACAAATGCCAGCAAGAACCAAGTCCACTTCCCCAAAACACCTGCCAAATGTGTGGTCAAATTTGTGGCTCTAGGGTTGGGCTCATCAGCCACACAAGGATCCACAGAACCCGTGACCAGTGACAGGGAATTTCCTGTGTTGACAATCATACTCATTAGCAAGTGATTGCCGCTGTCGACTTACAGTGTACTGAATGACTGTTCAAAGTTGTCTTTACATAAAGTTGCAGGGGGAACAGTTTCTCTCAATCATAGTTTGTCAGAGTGCTTCACCACACATAACTGCATGCGAACAAGGAGCAGTAGGCCATTCACAGATTGAATCCACTCTGACATTTAATAAGGTCATGGTTGTTTCAGATTGTAACATCAAATCCACATTCCTGTCTACCATGATTATCTTCCACCCAATTCCTTAACAATAATCTATCCACCTCTGCGGAAAATATTCAAACACTCTGCTTCCACCATATGTTTTCCAACATAAGACACCCTGCGCAGTCCTGGTATTAGTCTAGTAAACCTACTCTAAACTAGTTCATTTACTTTCTTCCTTAAACAAGGTGACCAATACTGTACACAATACTCCAGATGTGGTCTCACCAGTGCTCCATATAATTGAAGCATGACCTCCCTAATTTTATATCAAATTACTCTCACAAAACATTCTATTAGCTTTCCTTGCCTGCAAATTAACCTCTTGTAATTCATGCACCATGATGCCCAGCTCTCTGTGCATCTCAGATCTATGTAATCTATTACTGTGTCAATAACATACTTCTTTTTCATTCTTCCTGACAAAATGGACAATTTCACATTTTCTCGCATGAGAATCCATTTCCCGCATCTTTGCCCACTCATCCAACCAATCGATATCTTCTTGTCAGTCTGTTATGACCTCCACACAAGTATCTTTGTTTTGTCAGCAAATTTGGCAATGGTAACTTTCTGTCACTCGATCCAAGTCATTTATGTAAATTGTAAACAGTTGAGATCCCTGAACCAATTCCTGTAGCACAGCACTTATTTAGTCTTGCCTACCTGAAAAAAAATGCCTGTCCCTGCTTCCAAAATGCTCCATAATGAGCTTATGATTTCCACAACAAGTGTTTACATTATAAAAAAAGAAATTGCTGGAGAAATTTAGCAGGTCTTGCAGCATCTGTGGCAAGGAAGCAGAGTTACCATTTCAAGTCCGGTGACCCTTCATCAGAACTGTTAGCAGCTAGGAAAATGTATTTATGCTGAAGCTGATGTTGGCGGGGTCTTGGGAGAGGTGGAGGGGAGAGGTGAATGGTTATGTGGAGATGGAGCCCAGAGAATGAGAGATATGAAAGGTGTAGGTAAACAAGGAGAATATAGATACCAGGTCAGGACAGAAGAAAAGCTGAATAAGTGATAACAAGAGCTAAGACTAGGATAGAATGGGTGAGCTGTACTGAATGCAACCCATTTAGAATGATAATAAGCCTTGGCGTATATGAGAGTGGGTGATTGTGTCAAAATCAAGCCATGTCTTAACTGGCTATGTTGTGGGTAAAAGACTTGGAAGGCTGGAATCAGAATCTAAAGTTATTGAACTCAATGTTGAGTCCTAGAGGCTGCAGGGTCCCCATGTGGAAAATGAGATCATGTTCTTCCAGCTTGTGCTGAGGCTTGTTGGAATTCTGCAGCAGGCCTGTGACAGAAATGTTGGCCAGGGAACATGGTGGTATGTTGAAGTGGTAGGGAACTGGAAGCTCAGGGGTCATTTTTTTGCAGACAGAATATGTGTTCTGGTTGCCCAGACTGCATTTCGTCTGGTTTCTGCTTTCTTGCCATAGATGCTGCCAGACCTGCTGAATTTCTCCAGCAATTTCTGTCTTTGTTTCAGATCTCCAGCATACGCAGTTCTTTGTTTTATTCATTTGACATTATAGCAATGTTCATTCCATGTCAAACATTCAGCTTGGTGACTTTTACACTATTTATTACTCTCAGTGTACCATAGCGAGAGAGTCATAGACAGCTGCCTTTCCCTATTGCGCCTTTGCAACAGATGCGCCAAGCTTTAGTGTATGACTCAACATGTAGTCCTACAGATGGGTGGGAAATGGATTCATCAAATAGGACATGTGAATCAAAAAGTGGATCTCAAGTTTGTAAGAATCAAGGTAAACCTAACAGTTTATGCCTGTGTCATTTAGCAGCTTTGTCTGTTCTACACTAATTCTTCCAATGACAGTTAGAATAATAATAGTAAATATCGAGATTAAGAATGTGAATTTAAATATGCATGAAGCTCAGTGCATTTCTTTTAGGAGTGACCCAATCAAAATACAATGGCACTT